GGCTCACAATAAAAACGGAGAAAAATCCAAGTCCCTGCGTGTGGTTGTGAAAAAGAAGCCAAAAAACCACGGAATTTTGAAGTGTCCTGGAGAGGGAAAAGCACCAGAGGATGGAGATGGATGAATCCCAGCCCCGTTACTTCACAGTTCATCCCCAGGGATGCTGGATCACAGGAACATCCCAAAATCTCCAGAGGGTGGAGATGGATCAATCCCATTCCTTTGGAGCTCATCCCAAAGGATGCTGGATCAGGACAGGACCATCCCAAAATCTCCAGAAGGTGGAGATGGATCAATCCCATTCCTTTGGAGCTCATCCCCAGGGACTCTGGATCGGGGCAGGAACATCCCAAAAGCACCAGAGGGTGGAGATGGATGAATCCCAGTCCCATTCCTTTGGAGCTCATCCCAAGGGACACTGGATTGGGGCAGGAACATCCCAAAATCTCCAGAGGGTGGAGATGGATCAATCCCAGCCCCATTCCTTTGGAGCTCATCCCAAGGGACACTGGATTGGGGCAGGAACATCCCAAAAGCACCAGAGGATGGAGATGGATCAATCCCATTCCTTTGGAGCTCATCCCGAGGGACACTGGATCGGGACAGGAACATCCCAAAATCTCCAGAGGGTGGAGATGGATCAATCCCATTCCTTTGGAGCTCATCCTGAAGGACCCTGGATTAGGACAGGAACATCCCAAAATCTCCAGAGGGTGGAGATGGATCAATCCCATTCCTTTGGAGCTCATCCCAAAGGATGCTGGATCAGGACAGGACCATCCCAAAATCTCCAGAAGGTGGAGATGGATCAATCCCATTCCTTTGGAGCTCATCCCCAGGGACTCTGGATCGGGGCAGGAACATCCCAAAAGCACCAGAGGGTGGAGATGGATGAATCCCAGTCCCATTCCTTTGGAGCTCATCCCAAGGGACACTGGATTGGGGCAGGAACATCCCAAAATCTCCAGAGGGTGGAGATGGATCAATCCCATTCCTTTGGAGCTCATCCCAAAGGATGCTGGATCAGGACAGGACCATCCCAAAATCTCCAGAAGGTGGAGATGGATCAATCCCATTCCTTTGGAGCTCATCCCCAGGGACTCTGGATCGGGGCAGGAACATCCCAAAAGCACCAGAGGGTGGAGATGGATGAATCCCAGTCCCATTCCTTTGGAGCTCATCCCAAGGGACACTGGATTGGGGCAGGAACATCCCAAAATCTCCAGAGGGTGGAGATGGATCAATCCCATTCCTTTGGAGCTCATCCTGAAGGACCCTGGATTAGGACAGGAACATCCCAAAAGCACCAGAGGGTGGAGATGGATGAATCCCAGCCCAAAGCTCATCCCAAGGGATGCTGGATTGGAACAGGAACGTCCCAAAAGCACCAGAGGATGGAAATGGATGAAATCCCAGCCCCATTCCTTCTGTCATCCCAAGGGATGCTGGATCCAGGCAGGAACATCCCAAAATCTCCTCTGGAGGTGTCAGCAGAGTCAGAGCTGCTCTGGGAATCCCTCCCAGGGATCCCACGGGGTGGGAGAGGAGCTGTTTCAGGAGATTGGGGGGTTCAGCCCCAAAGCTGCCCCAGATTTGGGGAATTCTCRTTTCCTGGCAGACAGGGAAGGGCTGGGGTGAAACAAATCCCAATGGAAGAACCCTCTGGAAAATCCCAAAATCAGAAAGGAGCGTCCCCAACAAAACTTTCAACCCCAGCATGACCCCAAAGATCTGGGATTATTCACCTCCCCCATGCAGAGCACAGCTGGACCCCACAAATCACCCAAACCCCAAAAAAAAACCCCAAGAAAACGACCATAATTGGGTTTTCTTTAATAAAGATAGGAAGGATTTGTGTTTTCCTGTTAAGGCTGCTGCTCGGCTCCAGGRGGGCAGCTCTGATTACACGGAAAAAGCGCAATTACACCTCAAACTCAACATTTTTAGAGACGATTCCCAATTAAAAAAAAACCCCAAATCCAACCCCGAAAAGAAATTCCTCCTGCTGATTCCCGGTCCTGAGTCCAGTTCCACACCAGATTCTGAGGTACGAGACAATAAATTAAAGTTCATTCCAGCTCTGGGGATCGACCCTTCTCAACCTCAATGAGATGTCTTCTTGGCTCCCTTCCCGAATTTGGCATCGAGTCCAAGGCCTGGGGGAGACAAAAAACGGGATTTGAGTTTCTCAAAGCAGCAGAAAAATGGGAATTTTAGGAAAAATCAACTGGATATCCCCAAAACATGGGATTTGCATTCCTCAAAGCTGCAGAAAGCTGTGAACTTTGGGAAAATCCCCAAAACACGGGATTTGCATTCCTTAAAGCAACAGCAAATGGGAAATTTTGGGAAAAATCAATGGAATATTTGCATTCCTCAAAGCAGCAGAAAGCTGTGAACTTTGGGAAAATCCCCAAAACATGGGATTTGCATTCCTTAAAGCAGCAGCAAACGGGTAATTTTGGGAAAAAATCAACAGGATATCCCCGAAACATGGGATTTGCATTCCTCAAAGCAGCAGAAAATGAGGAATTTTGGGAAAAATTAATGGAATATCCCCAAAATATGGGATTTGTGTTCCTCAAAGCTGGGAATTTTGGGAAAAATATGAAAAAAATTGGAATATTCCCATATTTTTCAATGATCCCTTGGAATGATTTGAGGTATGGGGAAAAGACCAATGGGATCTGCTGGTCCCAGAGTGTCCTCACCCAATCCCAATGGATTTGAGGAGTTCCCAGAGAGGGTTCCCATGGGTTCAGAACCCAAAGCGTCCTCACCCGATCCCAATGGATTTGATGAATTCCCAAGGATGGATCCCATGGGCTCAGAACCCAAAGCATCCTCACCTGATCCCAATGGATTTGATGAATTCCC